AAATATTATAGAGAAGGAACAAACAGGGATGTGAGATGATTTCTTGATAAAATAATTAAAGAGGACAACAAACATCCCCTCCCCTCTCCTAAAAAAAACTCAGAAATCCAAAATGCTAGCCAAAATTCGCAATGTGTCTCCCGTATGTAGAACCTTCCCATCGTTTGTTGTTAGCAATTTACGTTTGCAAGTTGATTTAACTTCGTTTGTTGTTTGAATAATTGTGTTTGGTGTTGAGATTTGATTCCTCTGGTTTACAATTTGCAAGGTATGTCTTAAGTTACATTTTACAAACACTTTGTTTAATGTTTTTTGTTGTTTGCAACGTGTTCTAAACAATTTTTTTGTTGGTGTTTTTAACAATAATGATTTTTTTTTTTTTCAGTTTGATGTTTGTATTTGGCGAAGTCATAGGTAACGTAATTTTTTGTTTGCAATTTAATAACGCAAATTCTGGAAAAAACAATTATGTCTGTTGTTTGCATTTTGACGAAATCATAGATTTCTTTACAATTCAATAACACAAAATCTTTTCCAGTTTGTATTTGCAGTTTACAGAGTCATAGGCGTCGCGGGAAGCGTCGCAGTTCCGGTAGTCATCGGTAGCGTTTTTAGAGTATGAGTTTGTAAAATAATTGTATATTTTTTTATGAATTAATTTAATTTTTTAGTAAATATTTGGAAGAGATATTTTTTGGAATTTGTTTTGATAGAGAGATTTTATGGGATTTGATTTGATTTAAAGTATTTTTGCCACAATAAATATTATTAATTTATTAAAACATGGGAATTTTGACTTGGATCTACACACATAAATTATAATATAGAGGGACCTATAGTAAATTGCTCCCAATTTAAAATATTTTGGATATACCTAAAGAGTATAATTAATTTTAACTAATATAGTTAGTTAGGATACTATGTTCTCCATTTATATATAATAAATGAATTATTAAAATAAATTTTTATTTATTAATAATATTTCGTTACAGTAGGATAATACCATTTTTATAATATTGAGTGTCGTTGTCCTACCAAATTATTTCGGTAGGGTACGGTAATAATTCCGTAGAAATATTTCGGTAGGATAATTTGGTAAAAAAAACTCACCCCTAGGCATAACCAAGAACTCGTACGATCTATATCTCGTCGCACAAGTTATCTTTGCCACATCACCCGAAGCCATACGAACTTGCCAATATCCAGCCCGAAGATCAATCTTTGTGTAATACCGTGCCCTTGCTAACTTGTCGAAAAGATCCAAGGCATTAGCAATATGGTACTTATTTTTAAAAGTAACCTTACTCAATGCCTGATAGTCTACACGCATCCTCATTGGACCATCCTGCTTCTTCTAGAACAAAACCAGCAACCCATAAGGAGCTTTGGAAGGTTGCACGAGACACGCACTCAGCAAATCGTCAAGTTGCCTTCTAAGTTCAGCCAAGTCTAAAGGACCCATTTGGTACAGTTCTTGTGCTGGCGGTGTGGCCCCCGATTCCAACTCGATCTTATGGTCAATAGCTCACCGAGGCGGCAACTCTCTGGATAATTCAGGAGGCATCACATCCTCGAATTCAACCAACGATATCCATATTAACGATAAGACATACTAGAACTTAGAATTATTTTTGTTGGTACGTTTAGTTTTTAAATATTAAATTATAAAATTTGATCAGGTTTTTTCTAATGAATTACAACGTATCATATTGTGAAAATTATGTCTAGAGGAGTCTCTGTTGGCATGAAATTAGAACTAACGCCACTAATTTATTTGATTTTCATAAAAATAATTATAAGACAAAGCCATGTATTAAAAGAATGAACGGGCAAGAGCCTACGATGGGGTAACCACCGTCACAAAAGCATTATAAATGGTGAAGATTATGAGGTCTTACCCCTCATATTTCAAGTTACGTACTCATTTAATTAGATGGTGGGCAACACAGTTAGTATTACGATAGATGTATGTGAATTGCCATTTTGGGCAAAATGCCCATTATCTCTTAATCTCCATGATAAGAGATAATGTATCTGATTTTCTATGATTTGACATAATCATAACTTTATTATACGAACTTTAAAGCAATATTTCATAGTTAATTGATGAAATACTAAACTAAAATAATTTATGCGGTACTAATTTTACGAATACCGTTCATTCAAAAAATTACTTTCTCTGTCTAAAATTCTCAAACCCACACACACCCAAATATCACAAACATGCGTGAAAATTCACATTCCACGCCTAGTTTGGGTGTGAGAGACATTTTTTTTCTTCTTCTTAATACACCTTATCTTATCTTATATTATATATAAAAGAAAGAAACGTTAGGTCAACCTAAGAAACCCTAATCACATATTTGTACAAAAATAATATATATATAAACGCTAGTCATTTTTTATCTAATTACTTCACACCAAATTCCAACAAGCACAGTCCTGATCCAAAACACAATATTTTTATAATTGTTATTATTATTTTTATCTCTTTTTATCCGCTTATTTTCTTTAATTCTTCTTTGCTTTATTTATTTAATGATCAGTTTCATATTATGAAAATTGAGTTTATATACTTTTTTTTTTCGAAATGAGTTTGTATTATTAAATTTGTATAAATATTTACGTTGTTACCGATATCACTAATAAATTTTATTATAATTGTTATTATCATGTATTAAACTAATAGTTTTTTTCACTTTTGAAATACTATTCTGTGCATTGCACGGTGGAAAATGCTAGTATTAATAAAACTAATAAATTCTTACATTAACATATAAAAATATATTCTTCCATTATTCATTAACTATCAACTAATTATTACCACAAATTGTTAATCAAATTATTATTAACTATTTAATAATTACTTAAAAATTATTAATCAATTATTATTAGCTAATTACTAACGGTTAATCAATAATTATTTATTTATTAATTATTAACCAATTAATAATTCATTAAACATAAAGTATTATATAGTGTTACTGATTATTCATTAATATTTAAGTAATAATTAATTAGCTAAAACAAGCAATCAAACAAATAAAACAAAAACAAATAGAAGAGTTTCCACGCCCATGTTGGGCGTGGTTGGAATTTTTTCGCTCTTAGTTTGGGCGTGAAATCGATTATTTCACATTCGATTTGTGTGTGAATAGACAAAAAATGAATTTTTAAACCCTAGAGAGATAAAGCTTCTAAATATTAGAACCGCATTTGTAAAAAGAGAACCGCATTTATCAATTCCCAATAGTAAAACAAACGACAACAAGTACATAAAGCTACCAACTAACAATAATGCATTGGAAAACAATAATGATTCTACAACAAGTATTGGATTGCCTCCACTCCATATTACCTTTCCGATTCATCAAACGAATTTCGATGAAATTCACAAAATCCACCAATACTACTACTCGTGCCGAAACATAAAGGCGAAAAAAATAATTCATCGAATCCTCTCCAGACCCTTTCAAATCCTTAGCATCTCGAAACTCGTTTCTATTTTCAACACTCTGTTCATAGTTGAATTCTATTTAATTTGTTCAACCTTATTAGTTGCTGCTTCTTCACCCACATGAATAGCAGGAGTAAAATATGTACGAATCTATACGCGGGTCGGGTATAGGCTATATGATGAACCACAAATGAAATTTTATTTTAATATCCAAAACTTGGATTGAAAACATTTCAACCAAAAAGAAAAACCAACCCAAGTTACCAAACCAATCAAAACCCAACAGAATCAATTTCAACTAGTTATTAAATGAAATTCAGAATAGTGATGTTTGTTGGAACAGAAGATCAGCAATCATAAAAGCTAACTGAGGAGGGGTGAAGCTAGGTGGGGTAGTGGTATATGAATATCAATTCAGGGACTTTTCAATATTAAATATTAAATATCCATTACACACACAAGACAAGAGAGATTAATTAAAAGTCCAAGTTCACAAATTAAACTTGGTAATTATGTACCGTATAATTTGTATGCAGGCAGGCAGGCAGGCAAAAGCAAATCAGCTATAGCTCAAAAAGGTCTTTTCAATTGGGGGTGGATGGATTAAGGATACTAGTGGTGAAAGTCGGATGGATCGGATCGGATCAGAATTAACACTTCCAATTCCAAAAAAATTGGAATCTAAAAATTGATTCCTATTCCAAAAGGCTCGGAAATTTCTGAATTTCGGAAATCACGTAAGTTTCAATATTTCAAAACTTAGCCGAAAATTTCTGGAATTGTAATACTTTTTAAAAATTAAGAATATTCACGTCGATAAAATTAAAGTAATAACTACTAAATTTCAGTTAAAAAAAAATAATAATAAACCACGTCAAAATTCTATAACAAAACTTAAATCAAAGCAATGTTTAATTAAAAAAAAAAAAAAAAAAAAAGCTTAAAGTAAGTATTGTATAATATATATTATTTATAGGTGTATTTTTTGGGAAAGAAAAATCAGAATTTTTCGGAACTCATTTCGGGAATTAAATCGAATCGGAAATTGGAAATTCCAATTAATTTTTATATGATTCCAATTCTAATCCAAAAAAATCGGAAAAATTCAAAGATCGGAATGAAAAAATTTGTTCCAGTGGAACTTTTCGGATCGAAACCAGTGGAAATTGGAATTTATGTTCCAACTTGCACCCCAAAATTGGAATTCATGCCTGATCGTAACACTAATGTTCACCTAGCCCAGCAAAAAAATTAGGCTTGCTGCTAGTTCGTCTATCTAATGTAATTGGACCGGGCTAATTATGCCCGTATTTTTCTAGAGTCCCATCTAACTAAATCTTCCTACATATCATCTATTTTATACATCAAAATCCAGATTTTATTTATGTATTTATAAGAGTAAAAAGCAGTTTGCCTCCTAAACTATGGGCCGATTTGCACTTTACCCCCCAAACAAAAAAAATTTGTACGTTTTTACCTTAACTCGTTAATTCGTTGCACGGTGCCCCCTGAACTAAATTTTCCGGCAATTTTGACCGAAAAGTTAAAACATGTGCCTTGCACGTGACATTTGCAGGGGTATATTCGTCCATTCACTTACATCTTTAATATTAAATATAAATTATTCTTTAAAAAAACAAAAAAATATAAAAAATAAAAACAAAACAGAGAAAACAAAAAATAAAAAAATAATTTGTCTTCTTCCTTCTTCCCCACTTCGCCCACCGTGCCACCACCATCCCATTCCCCACTTCGCCCACCGTGCCACCACCATCCCAAACAGATCCCAGCCAAAAATTTCGGGGTGTTTGCTTTCGAGCTTCTCGAGGCCGAAGTACTCTCGGGCGACGGCGACGACGGAGGGGTCGAGCTCCCAGCCGTGGACGGCGGTTTGAGGGTGGAGTTCGAGGATGATTTTGGCGGCGGATCCGGCTCCGAACCCGAGTATTCCGACGGGTCCGGGCGGGAGGATCGGCGGCAGGGTGGCGAAGACGTCGTAGTAGGCGTTGGTGAGGGTTTTGAAGAGGAAGGAGATGCTGTGGATGTTGCCGGGGGCGTCGAGGAGGAGGAGCCTGGATCCGGCGAGTGGGTGGTCCGCCGCCCTGGATACTTGGATCACTCTGATGTAGTTGAATTTCGCCAGTATTTTGACGTGTTCGAATGGGATTCCGAGGTCGCCGCCGTCATCGTGCCGGGTGGCGGCGGCGGTGGTTTGGGGATTGGGTGACTGGGATTGGTGAGATTTGATTGGGAATAGGTCTTTGCCGCGGCGGTGGGTGGTGATGGCGGCGGCGAGGAGTGGAGGGGGAGGATTTGGGTGGTGGGGGTGTGAGAATGGAGGGTGGAATTGGGGGAAGATATGTGCTGCTGCTGCTAATTTCATTCTGAAGAAGAAAAAAAAAAACACTGAATAGCTTCAATGGCTCACATTTTGTAGAAAAGGGACAATGTTGGGAAATTGTATATAATAAAATTTGAGTTTGTGGTGAAAAGTTACGGCGGCGACACTTTGCAGGTTTCTCTCGAGGAAGGAGGAAGAGAGTTGCAGATTTTCCTTCTTATTTTCTTTTCTTTTATTATTATTATTGTTTATTTTATTTGTTTTTTATTTAATATGATGAATGTAAGGGAATAGACACTTTTGACCCTGCCAAACTCACGTGAATGGCATGTGTGTAAGATTCCGGTCAAAATTGCCGGAAAATAACATTTTTAGGGTACCGTGCAACAAAAAACCAAGTTTAGGTAAAAACGTGCAAAAAAATTTTGTTTAGGGGGTAAAGTGCAAAACGGGTCATAGTTTAGGGGGTAAACTGCTTTTTACTCTATTTATAACCCCAAGCAACCATCCATGGCTCCATACTACACTATAGTTGGATTCTATTTTATCTCTTGGTATTATTGAAGGGATTATATACAGGGGGATGACCTCTCTAACACACGAAAATCAACTTTTGGCACTTGTTGAAGACAGAGAGAGATGAAGATAGGACGAAGAAGACAGACTCAAAGAAAGTAATTTGTTTTTTATTTTAAGATCAAGTCAATTGCCCAGGTCTTTCTTTTTTAATTTAGATGAAGTCAATTGTTTTTTATTTTATTTTTCTAAATACAAAATGCCTACAAGAAGTCTATAGCATTACCACATTTGATGCTGATGGAATCATTCTTAATGGTTTAGGAAAATATCTTGGTATTGTACTTTTCAGCGGCATATGTAAATACATCTTCATTTTCTTCTCTTTACTTTGGTTTCTCCTTGTAATCTCTCTAAGAAATTCATCATTTTTCTTTCATAATGATCTGATAATGCATATGGCAGTTATCTAATTCTGATTCTTTCACACTCGATATACGGTTGTTGATCTTTTTTAAGATAAGTTGACTTAATTGAATGGCATCACCTTCAAGTGATGTGGCTAAAACTATAGTATTGATCGGAAAAATAGGTAATGGGAAAAGCGCAACAGGGAATAGTGTTCTTCGAAGAAAGGCATTCAAGTCAACGTCCAGCTCTACTCGTGTTACCAACACTTGCGAGATGCATACAACAACTTTACTGGAAAATGGGCAGAATCTTGTTGTGGTTGATACCCCAGGTACATATATGTATGTTGGCGCTACTTTAGAATCTTTTTGCAGATATATATGCATGTTGGCGCTACTTTAGAATATTTTTGCAGATAAGTGTAAATACGTGTGACTTGATGAACCAAATGCAATTGCCAGGATTGTTTGATTGTTCGGCTGAACCTCAATTTATTGGAAAGGAAATTGCTAAATGCATCAATTTGACAAAGGATGGTATCCATGCTATTCTTCTCGTGGCATCAATTAAAACTCGCATTTCTAAAGAAGAAGAAGAAGCTGGTGTGTTGATGTTGCGGTCATTTTTTGGCCCCAAAATTATTAACTACATGATTGTAGTTTTCACTGGTGGTGATGATCTTGAAGATGATGAGACTCTTGATGATTATTTTGGTCGCAATTGCCCCCAACATTATAAGGTACAAATCTCATTGCTCTTCATTTATTTCTCTGAATATTTAATTTATTTATCGGAACATATTAAT